TTTAATTTTACTTCTTATCTGTCTATCCATCCATCCATCCTTCCATCCATCCATCCTTCCATCCATCCATCCATCCATCCATCCATTCATCCATCCATCCATCCAACCATTCATCCATCCAACCATTCATCCATTCATCCATTCATACAACCATCTCTCCATCTATCCTAAATCCTAACATACCAAGGAATCTTGTTTACAAAAATGTCCAAGTTGTTGAATGATACACTATGTCTTAACTCAACTGTTTTGGTAACTGAAATTTTATCTTTCTTACCAGGTTTATAGACAATTTCACATATTCATCAGGTTCATTTGTCTCAAAACAAGAAATTGCATCAGGGTTTTTRAAAGCACACCCTGAATCAAGACCTTTGCCAGTTGCTACAATAGGCAAAATAGTCAAGGTCATATGGGGAAACAATATTAGACACACAAGAAGAAGACTGCACAATCCTCCTGACGATAAAAGAAGAAAAGCTGGGTATTTAAATCTGATGAGAAAAACAATTAATCAAGATCAAGTAGCCAAACTGTCTCAATCAATCTTTTGTCTGCCATTATCAGACCTCTTAATCCCAGGCTGGACAGTAGAAACGTTTCTTTCCCCATTTGGTATTAGATACCGAAAAGCCCTACAACAACTTTATGTTGATAAACATGCAGCTATACTAGAAGTCTACTTTAGTTTGCATGAGGAACATACAGGAGAGAAAAACATTAATGATGGTAAAGTTGCCAATCAAAATGATGATGAGAGAAGCTGTAATCCCAGGGGTATTCAATCTGATCTTGATAACTYTAATACTGCTAGCAGTTATAGCAATGCAGATAGTGACACCAGCAACACAGTGGATCCAATGAGAACACTATGTGCCAATATACTATGCAATGGCCAAGTAATTAGTGCACAAGATTTAGACATATGGGATAACAAAAGTGTTCCCACTTTGGGGAAAGTGAAATCCCTTTTGGAAGTTCTTAATAACTCCAAAATCTGTTTGGGTTGTGATGTAATGGAATCTTGGAGATCTGTTGGTATTGAGCGTCTTAATCCAAAGGAAAAMGTTGTGGTGGTACACAAATCTTTTGAGGATATTCTTTCAAACAAGGGAAAGAAAAGCCTTATTTCCACTGATTGCAAAATATTATTACCACCTCTACAGGGTTGCTGCGAAAATTGCAAACAGATATTTAATGTSGTAAAAATGAGGGAAAGCAGATTTCAAAACTGCAATCATAAAATTGACATCTACAAAAATAATTCCAAAATGACAAGAGCAGAACTGGAAGAAAAGATAAAGAGGCAAAGCACAGAAATAGCAAAATATAAAAGCAGGGAGAAACGGTTACAACAAAAATTATCAGAGGTTAATGGTACAGATTCTGAAGCCTAATCTACAGATAGCGATAGCTCAGCTGCAGATGAAGAGTAAGCTGAATTTGAGAGTTGAATGATGGAGAGAAAAAAGAAATAAAAAAAACATATTTCAAAAAATTTAGATGTGTTGATTTGTGTTGGCAAAGGATTTTGGAATTCTTTTCCTTCACATTAAGGCTTCAAATAAAGTTTTTTGCCACTTCCCAGGATTTAACAATCGATTGATTTAGGACCATACTTTCAGACATCGAATGCTGAAGCGCAGTATAGCAGCACGAAGCATATGCATTTACAGCTATGCCGGAGATTTCGGCTCCGACACCCGCTATCCGAGTATTGTCCGAGACTGATCAGGAAGCTCGGCCAAAGCCTAAGGTAGAAGTTAGTTGGCCATTAGACTGCAAATGATTAACCCCTTGCTATGACCAGCAGATCCAAATATTCGTCTGTGCAATCTCGTACCCAGAGTCCACGTTCCTTTTGTTCAGCACCGGCTAAAACCAACAGAAGAGGAGGCTAGTGGGTACTTAATTGTGCCCAGGGACTGGGAAATGCTGRCCCCTTTGGTTAGACGTGCAGTAGTCGAAGCTTCATTTTATAAAGACTGAACTGATTGAACTTATAAAGACTGAAATTGATAGAGAAAACTGAAAAAGCTTCACAGTAACTACTGGGTTACAACGTCGAAGCTTTACAGGCCCAGTAGTTTATGCCTTACAAAAAATTATCTACAATTACAGTAACTACTGGTTTACAACGTCGGAGCTTTACAACAGCCAGTAGTTACTGGCTTACAAAAATTCATTTACAATCAGAGTAACTACTGGGTTACAACATCAAAGCTTTTACAACTCCAGTAGTTACTGCCTTACAAAAATTCATTTACGATCACAGTAACTACTGGGTTACAATGTCGAAGCTTTACAACATCCAGTAGTTACTGGCTCTACAAACATTATCATAAACTCAGCATTTACTGATTCACGGCCCAATGAATCTCAAGTGAAATACTATGGATTAGMTTGTCATCAGCCTGATAAGTACCCTGGGGCCCAGAGGTTATCTTGACCGAGGTCGGAATGTACGTACAGACCTCGCTGCGCTCGGTCTGTACCCGACCGAGGTCAAGATTATCCCGTACAGACCGACCAAGCTCGGTTGATAAGAGTTTTATTATATGACCAMTTTTCATTGAAAAGGACAAAATGTTTTCGCCGTAAGATTGATATGCGATCGGACCGGTTAATACCGGAGAATCTAGACCAGTCCGCGATGCGATCTATCCAATCAGATTGCTCGATTTGCTAGTGTCCAGGCTCTAAGATTCACGGTCATATAATAAAGTCTTTTACAAATTATCAGGTAGTTATATACGGTAGTTATATTTACTATGTAGTTGGGATAGTTCGCGTGCGCTGATTGATCGAAAACTGTGCTTTATTAGTGAACGGAGCACAGTGCTGACGCCATCCGGCGMSCGAAGTGCTGCTAGATCCTGCGACCGTTTTCTTTTTGCGTAAATAAATTCAATGCCGAAATAAATAAATAACTATATAATAAAACGAATAAAACAGCTTTTTTCGTTCTCCGTTCAGCAATAAAGCACTTAGGCCTAGGGYAAACGTCGAACTTTCCATGCACCGAACTTAATTACATCAAAGAATGCCRCCTCATTATCACCTGATGTCCATTGTTTTTAATGAGTTCGGTGCATGGAAAGTTCGACGCCCGGGCGGGGTTTCGACGTTTGCTTTAGGCCTTAGGAAGCGCCGTAACACTCAACAAGTAGGCGTAAGCTAAGCACACGTACGCGGGCTCGTGTTTCTCACGCTTCTTTGGTGCTTACGCTTTTTCCTGTGTTCTTTATTACTGAACGGAGCACGACAAAAGCTGTTTTATTTCCTAAATATACAGTAACGCAGCGAGRCCAAACATCACTTCTGGCGTTACTCTCTATTTTTCATTTTTCATTTAAAAATTTCTTAATAAGAATTAAAAATGAAAATCAAAGGAAACGAAAGATACTGCTAAAGAAACTTATAGACATGGAAAAAGAAATATATTTTAATTTTAATTTTAATTCAAAAGTCGAGAGTATGTGTTTGGTCTTCCTGTGTAATGGATCGAAGGAAGACGACACGAGGCGAGGCAGGCGTGTGCTGAGCGTCCTCTCTCGTTCACCTTGGCGAGGCGACCAAGCAAGTTTTTGTATTTTCCAACAAACATTTGGTATGACCTTTGATTTCCTTTGTTCCTCTTCTTGATACCTTGTATTTAAGCCCTTTTTCTTTAGTCTACACGTCGTTTTTAGCGTAGTTTTAGCGTCTTTCTACCCGCTAAAGTAGCGGCCATGTTGGATAGCTTGTCCTTCTCTATTGAATGTCTATTGAATGTCTTTCTTCGACATTTGAATGAACTCGATCCATTTTGACAAAAAGTTTAGTATTTTTGGCTTCGATTTATTATTTTTGGCTTCTATCCGGTGTAAACTTGTCTCAATGCGTTAATTTGTTCATAGAAACTCGGATTCTATAGTTCCTTTCAAAAGAATCGACTCATTTCTAGGCAAATTTATAGACGTATTTTGGAATACTTAATGATTTTTCGAGGATTTTTCGAATCTTTCGTCTTGATGTCACGAAAAACGATTCTTCCTACTGCAAAAATATATTAAGCTTGAATGATTTGTAGCTTTTGATTTAGTTAATATTTTTGCTGAAGTTAAAATATATCAAGATGAATAAGCATCATTTACAACAGATTCTTTTCAACCTTATTTGAGATCGATTGAAAGGTAAACAATCAAAAAAATTTTCAATTCCTTCTTACACCATTTTTCCTAGCATCATATGGTATAACGAATGTGATCTTAAAAGTGGCTGTAATTTTCGAAGCTCCATAGTTCTTAGGGCAATTTAAAACAGCCTGAATGGTCTATTGATTGAAGACTAGGAGGACAAGAGGTCTTAACGTTTTAAAATAGCACAAACCTAATAATAGGCCCTTTGCAGTTAACCGTCACGTGTTTGTACTGGAGAGCAAAATTTTTGCTTTTATTTTAAATTGGTGATCCTTTTTAGCTACTTGTAAAGAAATGAATGAAGCGATGTGTAACCAGTGTGTTACGAAATGCAGTCTTATTACGATCTCTCGAAACAGGGTGTAGAAAGTGTGTTTCCTCTCCAGTAAATTTCACCCATGGGAATCAAAATGTTCATTCCATTGCTCTTAATGAATCATTCAGCACATGATTCATGAACTGCTAAGGACCTATTGGTAAAATAAATTGATGGCTTCTCAGGTCCAGAGGCCTTGTGTCGAATGATAGAATTGAACTAGAATTTTTAAGTTAAAAAWTTTTTAAATGGGCTCTTTTTCTTGTGAGAGCACTCTTAATCCTTAGACATAAGACAATATCTAACGTCTGACTTTGCATAAAGTTATTTCGTTGATCAAACTTATTGTTCTTTTCCATGCATAGCACCCCGGCCCTACCATTCCAGCCTAGCGAGATTATGAATAATGCTAAGGGCTTAGATAAGATAGACATAACCAGGATTTTGCCTTGGGGGACCAAACCTGTTTTCAGAACATCGGTTAAACTTATCATATGGCTACATAGATGTTTTGGTTTCTACAGCCCCCCTTGGCCCTCCTGGCTATGCCCCTGTCCAGAGGGGAAGATGCAGGGGCATATCCAGGGGTGGTAAAAAGGGTGGCTAGAAAAACCTCCCCCCCCCCCCACCTTTTGATCAATTTTCTCAATATATCGTTAGTAACAAACACCCTTCTTAAAATTTCTGGATCTGCGACTGAGTTGGGTTACGACCTGACAAAATTTGCAACAATAGAAAATAATCTTTTAACAGCATGGGCTATGCTTATATACTTAGCCATTCGAAGCTGAGACCATGTCAAGTGAAGAGGAAGCCACAGCTGCTAATGTGCTGTCTCAGATGTCGCAAATCCAACAAGTTAATCCTTGTGAAACTATAGACGCAACTGTCGTCATTGGACATCATTGTGATGTGGAGACTACCAATTCACAAGGTATGACTTGCTATTAAATCAACTTTGTTTATAGAGGATGACACTTAACAGTATAATTCAACTGATAGACTTGTGGTCCTCTTTTAACATCTGCAGTCTATCAGAGACAGGAATGCAATTAATGGGGTCATCCGAGCCATGTGAAGGTCTAACCATTTTCAGATGTAATTACAAAGGGAGGACCTTAGTTTATTATAAGTGTTCTCCTCAGTTTATTTTAAGTTTTGGTCCAGCTGATGCTTGAACCATGACCTCCTGCACAACAGACACTCTTACGAAGCTAACAGTGTGAGGGTGGCAGCATTATCTTTTGCTTCCAGGAAATGTTCATAGAAAGTTGCAAGGTTTGGAGAGGGTCTAAAGGCTGATTTACATGATATGATAATTTTTTCCTCATAACTGTTGTGTGCAACATGCATACCCCAAATTTTAGCTGCCATTTACAACTGTACAACCATTTAAATCATACCACCCTTAGATAACAGTTGTTAATTTTTTTGTGCGTAGCAGATCCTACACAAGAGACTACAGTTGAAGTTACACCTGAAGTCTTACAACAAGTACAGGTTGCTTTTCAACAAGACCTACCACAATTAGAAACAGGATTTGTTGATGTTTCCAAAAGTGATGACATATCCCACGAGGAAATGCAGGAGAGTGTGCCTGCTATAAATGATGCCAGCATGCAATGTACAACATGTGTTAAGCCAGGTTCGTCATGAAACATGCAGATGACCCTAACCTTAATGACATTGAATTTTTAATTTTACTCTATTGACTTTCAGGCAAGCCATATAGTTGCGATTACTGTGGTAAAATATTCAACAAGTCATACAACCTCAAGACACACATCAGAGTCCACACAGGAGAAAGACCATACCAGTGTGATTCATGTGGTCATGGCTTTGCAAACCTTGGCGATTTAAAAAGACATTTGAGGACTCATACTGGAGAAAAACCATTTAAGGTACAGAAAAAACAGGGGGATGTACCTTCTCTAAAAGTGGTCTCAAGGGAGACAGAAACTTAGAGTAAAGACAGTTTAAGATAATAACAGAGGCTTCAAGTGATTCAAGCTATATTTCAGCCAAAGAGCCACACACCCCCAAGCGGGTTCAAATTACATCGTTTATATAGGATAGGATATCTATTATGGATTAGCCAATAGGATATCACCAGGGGGAGCATGTCTTTTATCCCCTCTACCACCCCCAAGGGAAGGTTTGTTTACCATTCTTGCTTGTTGGATTGCACTTTTAATAATAGGGGTTATCTCTTATTCTAGTGTGAATTTTGYGGGAAACTTTTCTCAGACTTCGGAAGTCATAAGAGACACCTTCGTCTGCATACCGGCTTCAGACCGTTCAAGTGTGAGCAATGTGTTCGAGAGTTCACTCGGCTGGACAGTTTTAAGAACCATATGAGGCTACACACAGGTAGAGCATATTATAGGATTTTTTATTGATTTTTTTTTTCTTTTTTATGTCCACCCATCTATCCCTCAGTCCATCCCATTCATATACCAGTACTTCCATCCATTCACCCATCCATTTATCCATCCATCCACCTATCAATGTATGCATGTATCAATAAGCCATGAAGGTCATTGATCCACACATCCATCCATCCATCTATCCTCCCTTCCAACTATTCATCTATTTATCCAAAAACCCACCATTCATCCATCTATTCCTGCCCAACTGACCATCCATCTATTCACTTATTGCGAGACATCCCTTATGAATCATTTGCTATATTTCATTATCACCAGGTGATCGTCCATACAAATGTGATACTTGCAGCAAGGAATTCAACTATCTCACTACATACAAAAGACATCTCAACATACACAAGGGTGAAAAACCCTATTCCTGCGACCAGTGCGATAAGAAGTTTACCCGACAAAACTACTTAAAAAATCACATGAATACTCATGTGAAGATCACCAGTCAAGAATGTCAGACAGACACAGATCTTATGATTGAGATATTAGATGATGACTCACAGGTCAAAATGACATCAAGTGAAGGGCAAGTGGCTGCCGATAACCTGGCGAAAGTTTCATTACCACAGCTTGAGAATGAAGCAGAAAGAACTATTATGACGGAAGAGGATAGTGGAAAAATGGAAGAACAGGTGGGAATGAATTAAAAAATGAAGTAAAATATTTATTATTTATTTTTTTAGTGAAAATAAAATGAAATATTGAAATGGTTAAAAATTGGAAAAAGAGTGCAAAGAAATAAAAAATATATTTTATAGTTATATTCTAATGTCATTTATCCCCGGTTAGGGTTCCACTAAACAAGCTGACCTGAAATCCAACGAATCTTTACTTCGGCAAGTTACCCAAGTTCTTGGGGATTTAATCCCACATAATATGAGTGCTGAGTTGACAGAAAATGGTTCAGGATCACAAATTGTTGCACAAGGAGCAGAGCAAGGAGGAGAGTTTAAGGTAGATAGTGACCTGACCTGTTGCCATGGAAATAGGTTGTCATGGAGATGCATCCTAAGTAAATACATTATGTTATCAGTTATTATGTTGCAGTTTACCCCTGGTGTCCTAGTTGTAAGGCTAACATGAAAATACAAAAGAAATCGCACTTTTTCTCAAAGGAATTTTGTGGTATTTCTTTTGTATTTTCATGTTAGCCTTACCCTGCGAGCAGAAGTTTTTTTCTGACCCTCTGTGGGCTGGCTGCTCGGGGAGAAAAAATTGCCAGACAGCCCATAGAGGGTCAGAAAAAACCTCTGCTCGCAGGTTATGTTAACCTTGCACCATTAGTCTCCTTGACAGCTGTCATCTGGGATCGAAACTAATGACATCTGCAGAGGAGACTATGCATCTATGTTCCCAGAATATTTTGAGACAGTTGATTGCTGACTCATTCTTAACTTGGTTTGATTAGACATTAATTAATTAATTTTGCAGGTGTCGCTTGCTCAGCAACTGCTGATAGCACAACACATTTTAAGTCAGGCTCAAATTCAGAGGACAGATATACAAAATAGCGAAGGCACTGAACCAGGTGGTGCCTCTGTCACCACAGGTATGAATTGTCCCTATTTTAGACCATCGTTTTGAACGAATTGCTTTTTAAAACTGGTTAAAAATGTGACCTTGTAATTGATGTTTCTACAGTATCCATCCCTGAAATCAGCCCTGAACTTGCCGAACGGATCGTGAGTCAAGTTGCGTTACAGCAAGAATCCCAGTCTGGCCAAACTAGTGACGTCCTGTCACAAAACAATGTCCAAGTCATAGAGGTGTGTTCTGGCAACCACGCCCAAAATACCGAAGGGCAAAACCTTGTAGTCGAGGGACACCTTATTGCGCAAGAACAGCTCGCTGAACAAGTATCGATGCAAGCAGATTGCGTGGTGACACAAAGTGTCTTTGATCAGAGGAATGTCGTGACGACGTCTAGTCAGTCAAGTCAGGGCACCAGTGCTGTATATGTAGCCATTGACCCGTCACAACCAGACGTACAGCAGTATTTAGGTGAAATACAAGTACTTCAGTCTTCAGACAACATAACTGTCATGCAGACTGGGGATCAGTAGTCATACGGTAGTCTCTTATTAAAGTGCCATCTTCAGGGAAGTGTTAGGTATCTGCTCAATACAGGTTGACCGATTAACAGAGATAGACTTACTGCCATGCAGACTGGGGATCAGTAATCATACAGTAGTCTCTTATTAAAGTGCCATCTTCAGGGAAGTGTTAGGTATCTGCTCAATACAGGTTGACCAATTAATAGGGTAGAAGTACTTCAGACAACATAACTGTCATGCAGACTGGGGATCATTCCTGAGACAGGAAAACGTGCATACAGTAGTTCCTTCATTAACATCCATCTTCAGGGAAGTGTTAGGTATCCACTCAATACAGGTTGACCGATTAATAGAGGTAAAAATTACTGCAAAAACCCTCGTTGGGACTTTGAGAACTGGTCAGATAGAGGTCGACCGAATAACAAAAGTTCTGATATATATTATCATTAATGTATCAGTATCAATTCTTTGCCGTCTACTTTACGCTGATAACTATTTAATAAAACAATTACGCATTCAATAAATTACTTACTCAATTAAATAAAGGTGCCTGAGAATTGAAAGTGTTTTGTAATTTCAGTTTCTGAGCGCAAGTATATAGCGAAGAAGATCGAGAAATAGACGTTGTTGGTTGTCCACCCCAACCTTCTTCTAAAATAGTGTTCAAATTCGAGTTCAGTTTTCGACCCTTGAACGGTGTCCCACTCTAGATTTTCTTTCATTACCCTGCGAGCAGAGGTTGTTTTTTTCTTCGCCTACGTAGGGCTGAGCAGCAGGCTGGCCGTTTTTATCACCCGACCTACAACTAAAACGGAGGGCAGAAAAAGATCTCTGCTAGCAGGGTTTCTTTCACTGACAAGAAAAATGACAAGAAAAAGTGATAATTAACTTAGTTTTATTTTTAAATTAAGTCTTAGTTTGCTAGCTGCTGTGCGGTGAGAGCGGAGGGAATGAAAAAATGTTGAATACGTGGAGTTTCACGAGATTAAACCAGTGCAACAAAACCAAGATTTAAGACCTTATATTCCTGCAAGTACCGAGATAATCTTATTTCATTTGCATGCATTACGTTAGGGGCAGAAAAAAGAATTTCAACTCATCAAATGAGAGTTCAAAATGTTTGAACCAGCGCACGTTTTGACGGCTTTCATTCCTACAACACGTTGAGTTGTTTAGACTTTGAGTCCCTTGCTGATCAAGAATGCGTCTTGGTTTGGGTCGCGTCCAAGGAAGTTCTTGAGCATGTCACTGGCATCCTTGGATGGTATGAAAAAAAGAGGAACACTCGTCAGACAAAGAGATATGAATAACAATGAAACAGCCGCCATGTTGGTTGATCTAACGAGAAGCTATAATGTGGAATGCTTTGTTATCGTCAACCAAGATGGCGGCTATGACGTAACATGCACCTGCTCTATTGAAACATAAAGAAGTAACACTACTTACAATAGAACCTCCTGGTTGTAGAATACAGGTCTTGTAGTCCACACCAACTTTAGGATTCATGATCCCTTCCTTCTTAAAGCGTGAGTAAAACATGTCCATACAGAACACTTCGCTCCACTGAGAAAAAAATGTATATATACACGTCTTCAATATTTGTAGCAATCAGATGTCAAAAAAACCTAGAATGGTTGAGGTCGATATCGGACTTAATTTTGCAAGGCACGGTAATGTAACATGATTTGTCAAGCCAATTACTGCGCACGGAATTACTACTTATTCAATCAGGATGTCGGGATATGGCATCGTCACAGCCACGGCACGACATGTAGGACCTTGAGCTATCGCTAGATTTTAATCAGTTTAAGTCTTATTATCTGCGCAAAATGGTGGTCAAACACTGACCACCATGTCTTGTCAACCAGAAAGAATTCTCTTGAAAACTCGCGTCTGATGAACATTCCGCGCGAGAGAGGAAATAACGTTAAGGGAATCCAAGGAATTCATGGTGATACCAAAATATGATTGGATAATTTGTAAAGAAAGGAAAAGTAATAGCTAACTTACGAGATATCCGTAGTACTGTGCGTCGTATCCTCCTGCTAGGTGGCCAAAAGATGCCGACATGTTGGTACCTGATAACAGAATAATATACAATAGAATAATGTAAAAATCATTACAGGTAAAATATTATAAGTAAAGGTTATAATAATTAACAATTATTCGCCAAAGGCGAAGTGATTATTGGTGGAATATTTACGGGCATGATGAATTTGCCGCATCGTTTCCCACTCACACGAAAACCACTCTAAGGATATGAGCTATTAGATACTTGAATTGAGGTGATTGGTATGATATATTCATGTACCTGGGGTTGCTGCAATGTGGAGAATCTTGCTAGAGAGTTCTGCATAAACATCGGCTGTGTTCACCTGTGAACAAAATATGGGTTAATTATTGAGGAAGAGGAAGGAAGGAAGCAAGCAAGCAAGCAAGGAAGCAAGTAAGCAAGGAAGGAAGCAAGCAAGCAAGCAAGCAAGGAAGTTGTACTGACCTTAGGAGATGTATGGATGGTTTGATCAAACGTCCCTAGCAATATCTAAAGAAAATAGCATTGTCATATTAAGGATTCACATCATTTGGCACAATCAACCAGCATATGAGAGCATAAATGCTCGCATCAAGGGTTGTATATACCTGTCTTAGGTTAAACAGACCAGCATTGGCATTCCTAGAGGCAATAAGTTTGGCCAGCATATCATCTGGGATAGCACTTCCATCTGGAAGGAAAACAGATTTGTTCTATAATTCATGGTGATGTAGGAATTCATTCGTTTTGGCTTTATATCTAATTCCTTTATTTCACGATCTGTAGTTTGTTTTTTTTTTTTCCTCCTATTTTTCCATTTTGGTTTCTTTATTCACATTTTTAGGGCACTTTTTCAGTTTGAAGTTTGTTTTTTTTTTACTTACAGAGATCACTAATATAACACCAAGTCTTATGCAGTTCTTATGACAGTATACCTTTGTAATGTGCTGACATTCTTCTCAAAGGCTCAGGCTCCCAGCACCAGTTTTCCAACATCTGTGAAGGAGCTTCAACAAAGTCTCTTTCTACATTGGTGCCACTGCAGAGAAGTAATGGAAATCTATGTCTTGAATGGCATCACAAATGAGTTTCCCTTTCCTTTGTACAAAGGTGGCCTATCATATGTATATGATTGTACACTAACGACCTCCACTCTCCTATCATGTGTTTTGCTGTATCCTGCCTTAGCTGCCATAGTAACACATACCTAAACAGAGCATATTCTGACTTGGCACAAATCTGGTGCATCACATGACCAAACTCATGGAAAAACGTCTCAACCTTCAGAAAGAAAATTTAGAAAGCATTCATTGAGGGAGAACTAGCAAGACAATGAATATTCTGTGTACATCTGTTTTCACATTTTTGTGATCGAGTTGTCATAGAATGCATAATAAACATCTTTAGCTTGGGTGTAATGCTTTCAAACTGCAAGTCATTCTCTTGAGATTTTGATTGTTTGTTTGAGTGGTATCCATATTCATGTGTCTTCAAGCACAGCTATTAAACAAAGAAATGATACTCTAGGGAATGACACATGGTCAGAAATGGGAAAACATTATGCCAAGCCAACATATTCATGGTGGGATGGGAAGGTGTTACCTTGGTATGCAAGCTCTTGTGTGTGATACTAAGGTACCTGTAACCCTACCTCATTATGGGTGAGAAGTGAGGGTTTATCTTCTGTTGGTCTGGTGAAATTAGCTTCCATTGCGGCAATAGATAGCTGAAATATTAAGTAAAGGATGATGATAAATTATAATTATGGAATACAAGGTCAAAGGCAAATTGACTGACACAGAGATAGGTGGACAGATGGACAGTCAAACAGATGCGTGGACAGATAGACAGGTGCATGGACAGACAGACAGACAAGTAGACAGACAGACAGGTGGACAGACAGACAGGTGGACAGGTGGACAGACAGACAGGTGGACAGACAGGCAGGTGGACAGACAAACAGGTGGACAGACAGGTGGACAGATGCATGGACAGACAGACAGGTGGACAGACAGACAGTTAAACAGATACATGGACAGACAGACAGGCAGACAGACAGATAGATACAAAAATTAATGAACAATTCAATTCATTTTCCTACCTGTCTCTTGCCATCACTACGAAGACATCCAGGCTGGAATGAAACATTAATTATAATTACTGTTAGCATTGCCATTGCATTTTCTATTACATAAAAATAGTAATCAAAAAAACTTTGAAACAATTTCAACCTTAACAGACCTTAAGTCCAAAACAGGCAGCATGGCTGAACTTTCCTTCCCTTGGGAAGAGATCAAGGTAGAAATATCCTATGATGTTTGAAGTGGCTTTCTCCTTAACACTGAACTGTAAGTGAAATATAACAGATGTTAAAAATCAAGAATTTACTAGTAAAGATTGCTTGCAGAACTTTAAAATTATTTGAGCTTACCAGCTGAACGTCTTCATGCCAGACATGGGGTTTTTCAACTTCCTCAAAATTTAGTCCAAGGAGATCCTTTAAACATGAGAAAAATACAGTAAAAATGTTTAAGGGTTTATGATCTTACAACAAGATTTATGTAGTACTCTCTTGATAAAAGGTAAAATAAATAAACAAAATTAATGTACTGTACCTGATATATATCTAGCAGACCTGAAAAATAACGAAAAAGGATGCTTAGATGAAAATCATTTTAACAGGAAAAATTCAGAATAAAATTAATAATGAAAAACTAACTCTACCAAGTTGTATTCCATGAAAACAAAATTAATGACCAACTTTATGGAGCTGATTTCCATAAGATATCATCAATCACTGATAGTTGACAAAATATACTCAGATTAAAATTACCAACGAACATCTGTAGTTCTAACACCTTACCTTTAGTTACAACATCCATAGGGAAGTATTCCTTTAGCTTATCATGTTCAACAGCATAATTTTTCTCTTCCACCAAAGTCATGTAATATTTCATGTCCCAGTAGTTTATCTTTCCATCAAATTTGTACCCAAGACTTTCACACTGTTAAAAAAAGACATAACAAGATACTTCAATGAGTACAATTTCCAGTCATGAAGTACATGGTATCAATCAGCTATCAACCAGAGAGTTTCTTTTGCTTGGTATCAATGAGCTGAATGAATCTCATAATTCTCATGAACTCATTACAAGTCTTTAGTGACATGTAAGCAATAGCTTGCATGCTCAATCATGCATCCCAAATTGTTTTTTTKTTGTTGTTGTTGTTGAAAACTTGCCATTCAACTGATAACTATTTATAGTAACCTATTTGCTTTACATTATTTTGTAACTGAATTTTGAATAATTTACCTCTTCTTCTTTCAGTTTAAGAAGGGCCTTTAGTTCATCTTGTGCTAAGGGTTCAAGTCTAGTTGCCAGCTCTGACAAAAAGTCTGCAACTGCTTTGGAAGTTTTGGCCATGCGCATCTGAAAAATATAGAAAAAGGTTAATAAACATTGTACACTAGATCAAGAGGTTTATCCAGGTTTTACACAAGCATACCTCTAGAATGTAACTTGCATGAGTTGGATACCCAAGTAGATCTGCCATCTGAAATGAAACATTATTAACACCATTGTTAATAATAATTATCAATATTGTCCCACCCCCTTCCTCAGTTAACTCAGTTGATTGTCAAACTACCATGACACGACACACCTGACTGTCATGCCAACATGTTGCAGATGTCAAAGAACTATATATGTCATAGCTATTTCACACTAGCATCATGTCACACACGTCAGACCACCATAGCATACATCACATCTGTTACAACACCATAGCACACTTTGTTGCACCAATATGTGTCACACAATAACCACTTACATAATTCCATCATCATATGTCACACCACCATGGCATACTTTGTCACACCACCATGTGTCACACAACTACCACTTAATACATAATTCCAACATCTTCCCATACCTTTTGTCTCAATTCCACAAGCTCCTCTAAAATCTTTGTATTTTCTTCAATGCATCTGGATAAAAAGCAAGCAATTTAATATTGCTGAAGAAGGTGCCGAGGGTGTCACTACATCGTAATCATTAATGAATTTTTAATTTATACCGTCTGTTGAAGGCATACTCCATCTTCCTGCGTGTTTCAGGGTTGGAAGCTTTTCTCATGCAAGGGATGTAGTGTGGATATTTCAGAGTAAGAATAAACTTGCCTTGCTCATCCTAAGATTATTATAAAAATAATATTTAAATCAGAAATATTGATTAAGGTTTTGAATTGAAGGAGTGGAAAAAATTCATGGTCAGGGCGAACAGCCCCCCTTAAAAGGAACATGACTGAATAATGGAAACTAGTCTTTTAGAGTACTTCCCCAATGACTTAATGATAGCTAAATGTCCTTAATTTTTTTAGTACCTTTTCTAAAGAATTGATAAAGTCTTCAGGAAGACCAGCTGAAATAAGTAAAAATTGAACTTACAAGTTAGTATTGTGTAGTTCCAGAAATCATCCATACGCACTCCACAGAGGAAATTGGAATTTCCGTAGAGTAGGGGGGTCAGAGAAAGAACAAAAATTACAGAGTTTGTATGGAAGAAAATTGGAATTTCCAGAGGGTAGGGGGGTGCCTTAAAAAAATTCCTCCGTAAGGGGGTATGGATAATTTTTGGAACTACACATTTCAACATAAAGATGATGGTGATGATAATGCTAATCATGACTATAATGATGATGACAACAATGGTACTATGATTGCGATGATGATGATGATGATGAGAGTGATCATATCAACAATGACATTAAACCACAATGATAATGATACCAACATGGATGATGACAATGCTGATGATAAACAAAATATCTGGCATACATACTAAGTTCTTCCAAACCAAACGAAAGTTTAGTGTTTTCTTCATTCAAGTTGCTGTTGAAGTTAATAGAAATTTCACTCTGCTTCTTCTTGATTGCTTTGATCTCATCCTGGACATCAGATGGAAGGTGGAGTCCTGGAAGACAATACCATGGGAATTATTCCAAATAAAACACAATGTGCATTCAGAATTAACTCTTCAGTGAATACATAGGCAATCTGATACTATGGGATGACAGTATAGTAGGGATAAAACCTATTTGCATGTGCAATCTCTGTCCAAAGAAATGCAATTAATATTTACTTTAAAAGAAATTGTATTTCTAAGACAAACTTCCAAGTGAGTGAAGTTTCTATGAGGTAACAATAGAGGTCTATTTTTACTAGATTTAGTGTGGTGGCCAGATATCACTGGTTAAAGTAAACAAAGTAATGTATGAAACCAAAATGGTTGTCTGTGGTGTATAAGTACAGTAGGTTGTCTGCATGAGCAATAAGTTTTATGCTGGTCTTTCAAAAGTTGAAAAACAATGGAACTGAGATCCCTTACACACCATACCATTCCCCAGCCTCCTGCTCATTAACCCTAATGTGAGAAAATTCTGTCATCATGGAGATCGAAAGCTGTTTTCTTACAAATTATGTTTTCAAACTAGCATTATATAAATCATGATTATCTTACCGTTTCTCTTTCCTAATTTAATCAATCTTTCCAAAAGGCGCTTAGTTTCTGAAGACATTGGTGCTTGGTTTTTCTCCTTTATTTGCAACAAATGCCAAGAAAAAATAATAAAATTCATAACTTAATAATTATCATGGAATATATTGGGTTTCCTGTGTTATTGCCACGGGTAACCCAAATAATTCCTTACTTGAACAGCTGGAAAGCTTTGTCAGGGCCTCACCTGCAGAGCCACTAAGTTGTCAAAAATGTCTTTTCTCATGCTGCAGATAAAAAGTTTATTATTGTTATTAGATTGTCATTTTTTCACAACATTTGATCACGATTTGGGAAATTAATTTCATGATAAATAAGAATTTTGTCTGACAATCGAATATTATTTTAAAACTTGTTCTTAACGAAATAATGAAGATATCAGATCAATAATATATTATATTTACCTCATCTCAACATCAAATTCTGAAATTTTTCTATCTGCCTCCGTACTCGCTTTCCTTACTTCTTTGTCTAGAATACAAAAATAAAATCCTCATAGTGCATATTATTCTACATTCATGCTGTCTCAATCTTGCACAGTAGATTTGAGAAGTGTAGAAGGTTTCACATTCCAATAATATCTCATATGGGGTGTGGACTGGGGATGGATTGCTTCTCATCCCCCATCCCGGCCAATAGACCCTTCACAAATTTGCTTAAACAATGGTTCCAAGTGGAGTTGATAAATACAGGGAATGAATGAACACATCAAGTCCAGCCTCTACTTTAAACCATTGTTTCATGGTCACTCTATCAAATTTGGGAAAGATCTATAAGCCTCATAAGGGGTGGGGACTGGGGATGGGTTCCCTGAAACTTAATGATGCTCACTCAAGCGAATTTGGGAAAGGTCTATTAAGCCCCCCCACCCATCCCCCCATCACCCATATTTTTTATGGCTGTTCTTGGTTGATTCATTTAGTATAAATATTATTAAAGATAATAATTTATTATTACTGCACCTGTTGAAACATGTTGGAGGAATTCCAACTCTGCCTTGCTATTGGAGTACTCTCTTTCATTATTAGCAAGAGCCTGTCGAAATAATAATATTCATTTATAATCGTACAGTCTGATCATCATCATTATTGAAACTCAACTTATCACATAATCGTACCAATAGATATGAACCAACTGTACCTATTTGGCTAATGATAGATGATATAGTTCTCCCGAGGGTTCTTTATATCATCAACTGGTCTTATTTTTGAATTTAAAAAATCTAAGAAACGTATATTAAATCATTTAGAGTTTCTCTTTTGTACCTGTAAACAGCTTTCTAGTGTCACTTCGCCGGGTTTCAGGGCCCCGACAGAGTCGTAAACCTTTCTTGATCGCTCAATAACTTCATCGGTTCTCTTAGCGATATCCTCAGGAGTTAGATTCCATTGGAATGCGACATCTTCTACAAAGTATTCAGCCATGACTCTTTTACTAAAGTGAGAGGTGAAACTCGTGCACTCAAAGGAAAAAGTATAAGTAGCTTGTAGCTGCAACGCCTCGTTCCCAGGGAAATCGAGACGATCCTAAGTGGGGGAGGGTGGAAAAAACAATCTTACGAAAAAATTATTAAAATCAAAAACTAACTTATTATGATATTTTTAGAAACAGAAAAGCATTCCTCATGTTTTTATTATCTGTTCCCATAATTATATTATGATATCTTTTTAATTCATTCGGTCTTGAGATATTTGATTTATGATACAGTAAAAACCTTACCCCCTCCCCCAAAGTAAAGTTTTGCGGCCAAACAAAAGCGTTTGGTGACTATAAAAGATGGCGACCTTTTCGCCGTTTGAGAACGTCGCGTATTCAAGCCCTAAAACACATCTTCCAGAGGCAAATTACTGCGTTGCTTTGATGCAATGCTTGAACGACTTCAGAAAGCACAATGTTTTATGCGAAGTAACGATCGTTGTCAACGGTAAACCTTTTTATGCTCATCGTAATGTCTTGGCTGCTGCCAGCCCCTACTTTCGTGCCATGTTCTCCAACCATTTCCGTGAACAATGCGAAACTAAACCTGTAATACTCGAAAATATCACAGCAGACGTGATGGAGGAGCTGTTGAACTTCATCTACACTGGAACTATCAAAATCACGCCTTTAAATGTCCGAGATCTTGTGTCTGCATCGAACTACCTGTTGATGAACAGTCTAAAAGATGCTTGTGTCTCCTTCATGAAGTCAATGCTTAATCCTTCAAATTGTCTGGGTATTGAGTCCGCTGCAGACCAGTTTGACTGTGAAACTCTAAGAGAAACAGCTAATAATTACATCTATAATAATTTTGCTACCGTGTCTCAGACGGACGAATTTAAAATGCTCTCGCCAGAACGACTAGAACAGTTTCTTATTAGTGATGATACGAAAGTTGATCGAGAAGAGTATATATTTGAAGCACTCTTAACCTGGCTCAAACATGACGAGAAAAACCGAAAAGAAATGTTCCCTAGGCTTGCCAAACATGTTCGTTTTCCATTAATGTCGCCGTACTATCTTGCTGATTTTGTAGAGACTGAAGACATCGTTCTTTCGACCCCTGAATGTACCCCTCTCTTACTTGAAGCAAAGAACTATCACATGTTACCAGACAGAAGACACCTTATCAAGGGTAGTCGGACTAAACCTAGGAGATCTATGGGTCTCATGAAGGTTATTTTTGCTGCTGGTGGGATTCAGGGGTCGTCAGTGATGAAGAATACATTTTGTTTTGTGCCTAAGACAAATAAGTGGTACCCCCTTGCACCCATGAATGTAGCCAGATGCCGACATGGGCTAGCACTTACAGGTGATATGGTGTATGCAGTAGGGGGACAGTCTAGAGAAGGTAAAGAGCGTGCATGACTGATTTCGTGTTAGTGGGAAACTGACAGTACCGTATGTCATTCAAGTGGTTTTTAATCTGAACCAATGAACAGCAGTTTCAGAGCATGATTGAAAGAGGAAAGCATTTGAAAACATAGCATTGAGTTGAGCTGCACCACTGCTCTGTACATGCGGTAGTGATTAGCGATGACAAGTTTTTTTTTTGTTTTTTTTCTCCATCAAAGTGGTTGTTTATCGAAACAGTTATGTTAAGTACTATATTACTAGAATATGATGCCACACACGAGATATTACTGTATCTCAAGAAGATGATTTTGCAAGCATCCTTTTTTCATGCCTGCACTTTCACTTGGGCTGATGCTATCATCGACTGGAGACCTCTCTATTCTTCCCATTTCATTCCCATTGAATCAAGATTTTTATTTTATTCAGTTCATTTTCATTTCATAATTTAGGTGCAGCTCAAAGTTCACTGAGTTCAGCTGAGCGTTATGACCCAAGGACTAATACATGGACCATGGTTGCATCTATGAATATAAGGCGCAGTCTCTTGAATGTTGCTGTGCTTGATGGTGAGTATATACTAGATATACAATGTTTTCAAGTGGCATTGCATAGAATATCCCATGCATCACCATGGACCATGATTCGATTGCATATATGAATTATATAAAGGCTCATTCTCTTTAATGCTGCTATGCTTGATGGTGAGTGTATACCATTTCAATATTAGATCTAACTCATATTTTTCTTACTACAGGTCGCTTGTATGCTGTTGGAGGATGTGACGAGAATAACTTCCGATTAAATAGTGTTGAGAACTATGACCCTGTGACGGATAATTGGCAGTATATTGCACCCATGAGTACTTGTCGAAGCAGTCCATGTGTGATGGCAACTGGAAGGGCACTTTATGTTGTTGGTGGTGTAAATTATGTTGGCATGTCTTTGAATTCTGGAGAATGCTTCGACCCGATGACAAACACATGGGTGTCAATCAATCCGATGCAACAGAAACGAGCTAGTGCTTGTGGCGCAGTATGCAATGGGAAGATTTTTGTCATAGGTAATGAATATTTTCAATTTTTCTTTTTGCTTTAGAAATACTATTCGGACCCCATTTTGTATCATATACCCTTGAGCATTATTCTTTTCTTGACTAATAATTTTTGAGGATATAGGGATCTAACTTTAGTATGGTGCGTCATTAACATGTGGTCTTTTATCTGTAAAGGTGGATGGGATGGATCAAATCATTTGAACTCTGGCGAGATGTATGAACCAGAGATCGACCAATGGACGTCAATAGCTCGAGCAAGCACAGCAAGATGGGATGCTGCCATTGCTGTAGAGAGTGATAAAATCTTCGTCATTGGAGGATGTGATCGAAACTCACTATGCACCCTGGAAACAGAATGTTACGACCCCGAAAAGAAAAAGTGGAGTAAAGTAGCTCCACTTCCAGTGGCAACTCATGGTATTAAATGTTCAACAATTCAAGTACCTAATAAATTAATTCCAGGAATTTGATTACTATATGATATTTATAATACAAACAAACTCATTATTATGCATGATAGTTAACATGAGACAGTATTTCAATTCTTGGCTGTCATTACTCACTCAGCATAAACTATAATTTTACATTGAGCATTGTTATCAGGCTTTAGTGGACACAGTCTTCAATTAATGTGTGAAAGCCATTTCTGTGTGGATCAGGTTAGACTTGATGTGGTTGTGAACAATTAACGAATTGGAGGTATATTCAGTGCTTTCCATTATTGACAAGTGGGAGCTTCTCTATTCCTACTGAATTAAAATGTTCCATGATCTGTAAATGTACCTTGTGTATGATGACTTCTCAGTCATTTTCATTTAGTTACGAACAGCTTGTGATTGTATTTTACAGAAAATATTTTCTTTCAAGTATTTGATTTCTTTACTTTAAATATTAATTAAGTGACAAGGCAGCTTTTTTAAGCTTCCACATAAAGAGGGGACTATATCACAATGATAGAAACTAAAACCACTGACAGAAACATAATTTTAACATTTAAAAATGTATTTCCTGGTGAGACTGTCAGTTTTCATGGTAACCTTGTTACCATAATTACCATGTATAATTAAGTTGCACTTAAGAATTCAATAGAGTAGGGTACTTTTTATGACATCAACATTTTGTTGCAAAATGAAGTATAAAGTTATAAACAAATTTGTTAAATTTTAAGCCTGAGCATAATGTGTTTAAGGGTTTTATTAATCTATTTGCACTGTGATGATACTGCACTATAGGAAAATTTTAAATTATTGATATAACGTAAGACTGAAAAGTTTTGAAACAGTCTATCTAAGTATACAATACTTATCTCATTTATTCATGCAACCTATCAGTTATAGGACAGTCATATGCATTGCTGTCCAGGCCAAAAGCAGTAAGCAAAATGCCGATAACCAAAATGAATGCTTTGCAAAAGGGATTATCTTAAAATTTTCATCAGACTTATTTCTATATAGAACAACATACAGACTATGCACATGTTCATACATGTGCATGTTCAAATATCACACTTGGTTCCCTTAGAAGGGATACCCTCTTCCCTGAGCTACCCTGGACAAGCTCACTTTCCCTAATTTCTTTGTAAATTCATCGCCACCGTTTACATGAGATATTTAACTTGGCCTTGGCTAGAAGGGCCACCCTACTGGTAGGGTTACCCTCTTTGCAAAAGAGGGTGGCCCTTTTAGTCGGGACAACTATTCCCAAGGTAAACAAAGACTACTTTTTTGTTTGAGCATAATTTAACCAATAGTTGTCCCGGTTTTATAGGGACAACTTTGTTCCATATAAACGCTTGGTATAGTTGGCTTGAGTAGGAGGGTGTCCCTGATAGCTACCAGGGACAAGTTTTCTCCATGTAAACGGCCCCTTAGTTCTATAGGAATCTGACTGAATATATTACAAGACACTAGTCCTGGAGCATTCTTTTTCATCATCAGCATTTTGTTTGCTGCTTTCAGCCCAGACTAAAGATTATTGGAATATATAGTTGTATCTTATCTTTTACTCACTCAAATAGAAGACATGATTTTTATGGCAAAGAATCCTGACATTTGCCAAGTTTAAAATCAAATTCAAAATGACTAATTTTATGCTTGATGCATCAATGGAAAGTGGACAAAGCAAATAATTATGCAATTGTTATAAATATTGAAAGCATTTGTGCAGACACTCAAACCATGATAGTTATGAAAAAATGTCAAAAAGACCTTGAAGAGTTCATGGCTTGAGCCCAGCACTGTAAGTTTCTATGTTCATATATTCTTACTTGATTGAAAAATAAAATAACTGTGATTTGAAGTAGACTATTTATACTTTTCTCCACTCTAACTTAATAATTATTGTGATTGATTACTGTGACTTTGTGATGGGCTCCCTGTGTAGCATAATAGCTGATAGTCGGTCTGTCTGGCATATCGCATATGTACCTATGGGATTAAAAATAGAAGCAATGATTGACATAGGTTACTATCCCATCATCTATATATACTGGATTTAAATAATATAATTTCAACGATCACATCTAAACATTTCTTTATTATTTTTCCCTGCACCAACTCCTCCCTCCAAGTAGATAGTGTTGAGCTACAATGTGATGGGATACCTGTGTCAATCTTAATACTTGACACAGGTAGCCCATCAAAAAGTAATGCAACTTCCGGTCTGCGATTATATCTTGATAAATTCTTTTACTGCACACATCTAATGGAAGCTAATGAAAGCTAATAGATAAAAAACGTGTTTGCAACATTGGAAGCATGTATGGACTACTTTTTGACCCGGTTTTCTGGAATGGCATACTGGATTGAAAAATAAAACTTCTGCAATTAAATTTTTTCTATACAATATTAAATTTTTCAATGCAACCCTATTCTTTCATATCTGTAATATATATAAAGAGCTACGTATAAAAATAAATAAATAAATAAATAAATAAGTTTAAAACGAGATGGGCTTCCTATGTCAATCATTAGCATAATGCTGTGTATCCCGGATGTGTGGCCGCGGCATCCTGAGTCACGGTTTGGCGCGCGTTCGAACATATAATTTATTGAGCTTCCCGCCATTATGGCCGAAAGGCAACATGGCCGCCGTAAACATCTATACCGTGTTTTTATCGACTTTTATCACTCAACATAACGTTAAGAACTCCCCTTAAACATGCTTTAAAAGTTATTCGTACCTTGGCATTATCTATTTTAATGTTTGTTGGGTATATATGTGTTTTTATGAGGCGTAAGGATGAATGAAAGCATACCAATCGCAACTTTGTCAGGGATTACGAGTTTGACAAATCGTAAGTAGCTTTTACAATCTTCATTTTGTGTGTGTATTCATAATGTTTAATTGACTTTATTGGGTATAATATTCCGTCGGTAATCTTTATGAATGATTAAGTGTGATATCTTCGTGACACTTGGAGCTTTTCACGACCTTTGAATGGCATAAACACGATTTATGTTTTTGTACAAAGAAACCTAAAAAACCTGCTACAGATCTTTTATAACGCCATTTCTATTGTCCTTTATTCTTTCACTAGTGATTGCAGAACTTCCTTTACCTCGTTCTTCAGCGGCTAAGCATAAAGAGAGTCTTTTCAGTAATCCAAATGTCGAAGTTGAAGCGAAAAAGGTTCTCAACCGACCAGATCCTGCAGTAATTCATCAAATCAAGCAAGCTCTACGAAATTCCACTCAAGAGCAAATGTAAGTTCATAACATCGTTTTCTCATTTCTTTTCGATTTGTTGATACTTAATTCGAGTTGATATTTCGTATTTTCGAAAACATCTATTGACGGATGCCAGTTATTGAAGATCAATAATAATTTTTTTTCTTTGTTTTGTGACATTTTTAACTCGTGCTTTAATAGCAATCATAAAATCTGCACTTCCTTCTGGACAATTTTGAAGTATTATTGTATCCAAACAGTCTCACTAGGTTAAATGAAATACCAAGGTAGATAATCGGTAATTTTTTAATAATTTGGTTAGACTAATTTGTAAAGATATTGAAGCTTTATCAAACTTCAAGCACTGAAACTGCATCCTTTTGATATCTGCCTGGAATTTTGTTGTGGGTCGGAGGGTGGGGKTTTTTTTGATCATAATATTTATATTTATTTTCCTTAAAGATTATATGAATTTATTTTTTTATTTTTTTAAATGATATTTATGTTTTTATTGGCTTACGTTTAATAACATAGAAATTCACTTTGTAGGACACTCTTATGTTATCCCAAATAGCTCGGCAGTCATTTTGTTGCATGGAAACCTAGAAATGAAAGAAATTTCTAATTAACATTAATATTGAATGTAATTGTTGTATAATGTCTATGAAAACCTTGATTAATATTGATGCATGTTGACAAAGTACTATTATTATTATCAATTATTATGATTGTTTGATACACCTGCAAATATAGTGCAATTGAGAGTCAGTTTCAAATAGTTGAATGAACAAATGGAAAGTGTGACAACAAATCTTAGTAGTTGAGCAGAAATAATTTCTTTTTCTTTTTTTAATAAAAAACCTTTACAAGTTGTATATTCTGTATCACCATACTCAAACATTATTCTGATTTGTTTGTGATTATATCATGTCATAATGTTTAATGAATGCTAAACCTTTTTGTTTTCCATTTCCAGCAATCTCAAAGATGAGTTTAACAAGGTTGTGGAAGGTTCAAGCTCAAGAGAAGGCTCATCATTACTTTTACAGGCTCTATTAAACCAAGATCCTGACTTATTTAATCAACAAAATGATCAGTTAGGGCTTGATGACTTGCTAGGTATGTGGTATGTATGAATGCATAAGGGGGATTAATGAGTTTGTTTAATGATAGAAGGTTGTAAACTATCCATAGATATTAAGGTATTAATGGTAGTCTAAGTCAGAGAAATTTGCTCATTTACTTGAACATTCTCTGATCCCTGATCCTTAATGAAACCCATGATGCATACCAGATCATAAATTATTGAAGTAAAAAATTTGAATAGAACAGAGAGAGGATAGAACAATAAAGCACTAGAGAAATATTTTCATTAATGACTGGAAATTTTCTATAGGGGAATTCCATTATTGTAAACCTCCTTGGGACCAAGAAAAAGTTTCAAAATAATAGGAATTAAAGTTATCCAGGATAAAATATCATAGTGCTACACTGATTAAGTCCACATGATATGACCTCAAGTTGGAGTTAATGGGAAATTTAAGATATCCAGGTTTTTAGATATTAATGGGACTCCACTATATTTTTCTGGGACTTAAGCTTGATTATTGTTGACTGTAATCTCCTCTTGTCATTGACTTTGGAATCTTCACTAAAGGTTTTTGCTGCTATCATCTTTTGCAGGAATTCCTCCTCTATGTCATACATCTATGTCCCCACAGCTTTCACCAAATCAGCCTTTACCAATGACAGGCTCTCCTATGTATGCTGGATCACCACCAGGACTTGCACAAGTTCATTCACCTTATAGACAAGCAGTACATCAAAGTCCCCCTGAAGTGGGAAGTCCAATGCAACAGTCTATACCACCCTATGCACCAATCTCCCAGCCATTTTCTCCACACAGAGCTGGACCAACAAATATTATGAGCCCTAATCATCAAGGTCAGCATTATTATCTTGATTCTCTACCATATTTAATCCCAGAAAATACCAGTTTCTCCCTCACCATTTGGAATCAGAATATTCAAGAGGTCTTGGGTTACTGGACTTTTGTGAGATATGAATTCTTTTGAAAAACAATGCAACAAATGAGAGGCATAAAGAACACATTTTCACATATGAAAGATGACACCAATAATATTGATATTTATTCATATTTCTTTTTAGGGGTGTTCAACACACTTGCTCATGGACAAATGTCTCCTTTACAAGGAAACAGTTTATGTCAACCAAATACTTCTCCTGTAAAAACAAGAARGATGCGGAACAGTTTGGCATCTCAGTCACCAACAACACAGATTTCACCCCCTCAGTCCATCGTGCAACCTAACCAATGTAAGTACATTCAAATAAATTCCTATATCAGTAATTGTGGTGTTGCATTTTGTTTTTGGGTGATGGAGAGTGGGAAAGGAGAAAAGTAATAGAAACATTTTGCAAAACCTTTATTACCTCGACCGTAAGTTTGGCCAGTCAGCTTAAAAACATTCATATAAATGTACAGTGTACTATCTATGTTCTTAATGCAAACTAAATTGTAGACCAAAATGAGATGTACCAAATTACACTTACAGTAGATTGATGTTTTCACATTCTTTGATCTGCTTTTCAGGTTATGTTATGGTTATAAAAGGTTTTGTAATTATGTTTTGTTTATTGATAATTAATTTCTATTTCCTAACATTTTTGTCGGAGACATTGCAATTATGTCTGTTATCCTTATTCTTAGCTGGTGGTTATACTATACCACAAGCATCACCAAGATCAAGAAATGTTGATCCATCATTGAGCAGCAACCTCATGGGTGCTGCAGAGCTCAGTCATTTTAACTTGGGATCATCACCAAGTACATCAGCATATGCTGGTACTGGCTATAACAGTCTATCAGCTCTGGAAGCACTTGCTTCAAGCAATGGATTTGCCCTTGCCCCCAACTCGATACAAAAAGCATCACAAAATTCTTCAGGGAAAACTATAGATAGCACAAATTCATTAAGTGCTCATCATCAAAATAACCATTGGTCATCGCAACAATATGATGGAGTCCAGGATTCTAATGTTGCTACAAACCAGTATAATATAGATACAAGCATCACAGAAACTATTGACTCTGGTATTTCCCTTCCTGCAGCCAAAAAAGGATCAAGAAAAAAGCATGTGGACAGATCATTAAGTAAGGCAAATGTACATCATGAACCTGAATTACCTCAAGAACAAATTGGGGATAATACAATATCACAAAAGGATCAAGGACTTAAAGATAATTCATGGACTAATTTCAACCATGGCATTGATAAGCAAAGACTTCCTATACAAACTCCTAATGAGTGCAGTCCTGATGGTACTATAGATTTAAACAGCACTGTGAATCATATGTACATAGATAGTACCATGAAATCAACAACAAAAGAACTCGTTTCACAGTCAGGAGTCCTAAAGGAGTTACAATTGTGTATTCCTAAATTAGTCATCACCAAGATTAAGGAACGCAGAGGGTCTAAAGAGATTGAAACTCATAGTGTAAGGACTATAATGCCTGGAGAAGAAGACATATTATCTGTGAAAAAGAAGAGAAGAAGATCTAGTGAGGACATGGAAAAACAAAGTGATAATGAAATTGAGCAAGGTACAGCAGAAATGTCTTCATGTCATTTTGTGTTTTTTTGTGTAGTGACAAGATAACAAGGAATAAAAGGCTATGTTTTATATGTCATCTTTCAGGTAGTGGGGGGGGGGGGGCTAAAATGCATCATAAAATGGGATGCAGGGCTGAAATAATGGCCAGTCGGTTCCTGATCAAGATCACTGGCCAAATAAAATTTAACTCTGTCATACCTCATTTTTCGCTCAACATTACTGGTCAAAATAACCCGCAAGACAAAGATTTGACCAGATAAGTTCCAATTCTGACCAGACATTGTCAAATGACTGGCCATTATTATAAGCCCTGTGATGCATCCATTGATCCAGAGACAATAAGACTGTCAGTGCAAGGTTTATTTTAAATCAAATTTACAGGTTTCCATATCCGAATTTTAATCCAATTTTGAGTTCAATTTGTTGTTTCCTGTATACCAGTAGCTTACCAGTTCATAAAAAAAGCTTTAACACCTAATTTGTGTTATAATTCCTAGCGAGACCAAAGAAAAAGAAGAAGATGAAAGTTAAAAAATCTCAGGCTTCAGAAATTGATGGTAAAGTTTTTTTCCTATCAAGGATAGTAATTTAATCGATGACATCAAGCTTTGAGAGATGCATTAATGCCTTTTTGAAAAAAAAGAGCAAACTAATTAGTATAAACAAATCATAAGAACCTGTTATCTGCCTGCAGTGTTCTAATATGACACAGCTGTATTAGAGTATTATATTGGGTTCTCAGAATGAATTAGAATATTCCCTTTTTTTTTCAGAGCTAATGGAGTCCTCAACTTTCAAGAGGTTTTCAACGGCTTTGGAAAATCTATTTGAGTTTGATGATGAATGTGGGGTTTCGTATATGGCTGAAGTAGGTCAGTAAAGCAATTAAGATATGTCAACTGGCTTTGTTAACATGTGTATTGTATGTGAAACTGCAAATATCATCCCAATGTGCTTTAATATGCATGTTGGTTTCCTCCAGGTTCCCGTTATTTTTTGAGTTTTTGATTTTTTTATGATGGAAAAATTAATAGCCATTATATTTAAACACAGATGATGAAGAGCCAGCTTCAGAAAGCCTTGCATCCAGAACAGAAATATATGAGCTTTATGCTGAAACTGCTAAATTGAGGTCTTTAGGTGTAACACATCAAGTATGTATAACACAGCATACATGTCTAATTTATATCATTGTTATCTTATAAATGAAGTCTAATTTTGCTTTTTGTCATGTGACAGCACATTTTCCAGTAAAATTCTCACGGGAAAATCTAGCTTCAACAAATTCTCATGTTTTAAATTCCTCAAGCTCTTGCTGTGCAAACAAGAGAACAGGTGAAAAGTAGCATATTGGACATTTATCCTCTTGATTGATCTTAAAACAGGTTCCAAGTGATCAGTTAATGAGATTAATAGCCATCATGGAACGACATGTCAGGGATGGTTTGTTACTTAAACTCAATGTTGATCAGGTATGTTGCTCCATTAGCATCATATGTATCTCCAAGCTTTTTCATTGCAAGGGGAGGGAGAGATAGAAGAAATTCCCCCCCTTAACCTTGAAAGACATTTTAATTTACAGAAGTTATCAGCTTTAATAATACATGCAATAAAAATTTATTGCATGCAAAATGGACTCAAAAATTTTTTTTATTACTAAAGCCCCTCCACCTTTCAGAACCTCCCTATTACTCCACCCTTTTTGTTATCTTACCCTATTCATGTTGAATATTTTATAGGATGATGATGAAGAACAAAAACTTTGGCGTGATTTATGCTTGGACAGGATGATTCGTTCATTGGAGTCATCATTGGTTATATTGAACATATTGACATCACCCAGTGTACCAAAGCAGTTATATGTAGAGGAGGTCATAGAAAGGATCATTAGACTTGTCAAGTTCCATCTACAGAACAATATTTTTCCTGAGTATGACCCTGTCTACAGAGATCCAGATTCCAAAGGTAAGTGTAAGTAGCATAGATGGCATAGTGGTAAGACCCCTTGCCTCTTACCAGTGATTTCTTTCTCAATTTTTTTTCCCATTCATTTATAGATCCATGTGTTTTTGTGCCCAAGTCAAAACGGACCAAAAGCACCCTTGCAAAAGTTAAACTTCTTACATCATTTTATAACAAAATGTGTGAACTGGTGTCCCAATTGGGAGATCTTGTGGATGTTCAGACCCTTACAGATACAACCATTTTACAGGTAAATCAAAAATGGTAAATTAACCAGAATGTTGCAGTGTAACAGTTGCTTTACCATGATCTCAAATAGTTGCAATTTTTAAGGCAATTTTAAGAAACTTACTGGATGGTTTATTTTAAATGTGGCGTAATGTAATTAAGGGAAATTTAAGATAAGGGCATTGTTGGCCAATAGCCTCATAAAAGCAATATGTGGGGTGCCTCTCAGGCCACAGCAGAGCCCACTTCATTCAGATTGTTGCAGATCTATTTCATGCTTGTGTGCCTTTGCTCCCAGCCTCACTTCCCTCATAGATATTGGTCAAGATAAGTTCTCCCGGGTCAAAGATTATAGGTGGAGGGCCATGGGTGGTTACCATGGTGACCTCTTTGCCATGCATGGACTAACATAGTCAGCTTAAGGCACTAGTCCCAGGCGACATATTTGCTTCTGATTTTAATTGACTGTAAATTAACCATAGTATTTACATAGAATGTTTTTGTTTAGGTTTCCAGTCTAGGTACTTCTCCATTCTTCGTAGAGAATGTGAGTGACCTACAGCATAGCTCACTGAAGCTTGTCAGATCAGTGTTTAGGAAGTATGTCAAGCACAGAGACTTGATCCTTGAGGACATTTTTGCATCCTTGCAAAGGCTGCCATCAACTAAAAGAAACATGAGGAGCTACAGGTATTAAATAATCATGATTTTTAACTTATCCTTCAAGGATTTGGACATTCATTGACTGTGCAGACATTTATGTTCTGGAATATTACATGACTCCAAACTTGGATTTAATCTAATTAATATCCTTTTACAGGTTAAATGGCGAAGAGTCCATCCAAATGGTCACAGCCTTAGTATTACAACTCATTCAATGCTCCATCAGGATTCCTGACAAGTCTGAGATTGAATCGACAGCTCCTGCAGAAGGGGAGCAGAATGAAAATGAGCCTGCAAAGGTTAGATCAACTTGGATCTCACTTAGGTTTATCTGGTTATATGTACATCAAAAATTGTCATTACAGTTTCTAATGTTGCTCCTTGCCTTTTTACATACTGTAGGTTGATCGAGACATTGTCATCTGTAATTCGTATGAAAATGCACTGAGAACAGCACAGAATTTTCTATCAATGTTTTTAAACAAGTAAGTTTGTTTAGTTAATTCATAAAGCTTTATAAAAATTAATGTAATAAGACAATCCTTTATCTTACTTTGTTTAATTTGTTTATTGTTGAATGTCAAATTTAGATGCAGCAGTGTTGGTAAGGATGAAGAAGACTTCAGACCTTTGTTTGAAAACTTTCTCCAAGATCTTTTACTAATGCTTAACAAACCAGATTGGCCTACTGCAGAAGTTCTCTTGACACTACTAGGGAAGCTGTTGGTAAGTATATCTGTTAGTAAACCATGGTCACATAACTTGGCATCCAAAAATTTCTTAATTAATGCAAATATAATATATGTTTTCACAGATTGTAACACTGAATAACAAGTCTCTTGACGTAAGCCTCAGGGTGTCTTCCATTGATTACCTTGGTGTTGTTGCTGCCCATTTAAGAAAGGATGGGGTCACTAGTCATCAGCTAGAGTCTGACAGCATCTCTGATGTTATAGTGGAAGTAAGAATGAATTACTGTACTCTCATTTTTGGTATCCATACTATACAAATTCTTGTTGACTTTTGTATCTTATTTTGTTTTAGTTGCTTGGTGATACATCAGATGAATCAGAGGAAGAGTATAATAAATGGGTAAGTTTTATGTTACTATTTTCCATACAGTGCTGTTCTTCCTGGTTAAATTATAATAAATTATTATTATTATTATTATTATTATTATTATTATTGATAATATTATTTCTGGTATCATTACTATCATTGGCAACACTGGCATCAGTAGCATCATGATCAGCACTCATAGCTGTGGAACATTGACTTTACTTGTTCTAAGCTTTTGTTGTTTTTTCTCATACAGGATGAGAGGTCATCAAAGAGAGTAAGAGTTCTAAGAAAAGCCCTTTCAAACTACTTGACAACAGAAGGACAAAATGATCCAGCCTTATTGGTAATTTTCTCTTTATTTCCATGTCCTGTTCTTAATAGACCTCCTCCAATCCACTCAGGAGCACTCGAGTGTAATGTTGTCCCATTTCTGACCACGCGTCATTCCCTTGAAAGTAATACTCTTTGTTAATACCATTAAACAAAGAAATGATACTCTAGGTAATGACACATGGTCTGAAATGGGAAAACATTACATCAGAGCCGAGGAGATCTATTGTGATAAACATTGATTCTTTATATGTTAAAACAAAGTCTGTAATGGACATATTCGTAAGAGCACTTCATGAAAACCAAAATATTATGTTATTCCCATTAGTTTGCCAAGAGGTTCTACATTGCTCAGTGGATCCGTGATGCTCAGATAGAAATAGAAAGAGCCATTAGAAATCCTTCAGACTTACCATCAGAAACAATAGAGGGTATTAACAGTTCGTTTGGTGCTGGAGCTGAAAGTATTCAGAAATCAGAGGAAGAGAAAGAGTTTTTACATGACTTGTTGGATGACCGATTCTGTAATATCAGGTATTATCATTAATATTAAAATATTCCAAAATTTCATTTCAATCATAACATTTGGGTCGAGGATTTGAAACCTAATTAACCTCACTAAATGGGACAAGAGCAAAGATAATTGAATATTAAATAATTGAGAGAATGGATGATTTTTAGAGGAACATACTTAAAAGGACATTATTTATATGATACTGCTGACACCATAACCTAACATATGGAGCCACCATTTAATTCAGCATTCATAGGGGGTATAATTGTTGCTCCCTAGTTTAATGACTTAGTGAACCATTCACTGGAGGGTCGAGAGCTTAAAGTCATCACCACAAGAACTTGGAATTTTTCCTGAGAAAAATATTTTCGAACTTGAGATAAAAACAAAATGTTTTAATTTAATTAATTTGATATCATTTGTATTTATTCTTCAGATCTTCTCAGCATACACTAGACTATGACAAGGCTTTATTGGTCTCCAGATATCTTGGCTCTTCAAGGTCTTTCTCCAAAAGTTTTGATGGATATCTTGGACAGGTAATAAACAATAACACTTAAGTAGTTCATGCACTCTACTTGCTTGATTTCTACTTTTGCAATAGCATTAATATTTATCTATTTCTCTTTAGATTTTAAGAGTGCTTAATGAGAATGTAGTTGCCATCAGGACAAAAGCTATGAAGGCTTTATCAGCTGTGGTATCTGCTGATCCTTCCATACTGTCAAGGGTAAGTAATGTATAATTATGTCTACCATTGATGGTATTTATCAAATTGAGCTGATCCTCACAGTATATGAAGGAACTTATGCAGCTGCAAATTGTCTTTAGTCTTGAACGAAATTCAAGCTCTGATTTGAGCTCTCGTAAAATCATGATTGCATTCCAGCTCATTAATGGTATTTCCAGATCAGGCATAAAGCTTAAACGCCTATTGCAATCCAGCTCGCCTGGATTATTACAATAAGACATGAATATAGAGTTTTTTACTCCTTTCTTATAAAAAGAAAGTATTAATAAGTATGATCAAGAGTACCCTCCCAAAGTGAAAAAATGGCCACCATAGAAATATATATTTTTTTGTCTTGTAGGATGATATGCAGAAGGGTGTCCACACCAGGCTTGTAGATATGTCTACGAGTGTAAGAGAAGCAGCTGTAGAGTTAATAGGCCGTTTTGTACTCAACAAACCAGAGCTCATTCATCAGTATTATGACATGATTGTGGAAAGAATACTGGTATGTAACATCAACATACAGTCAGAATAACTATAGCATGTCCCCCTTTAACAGTCGTAAAATCATTAACATATTCAGATCACCTACAATCAACTTCATTATATTGCATTATCTTTATCAATTGTAAATGCATTTTTATTATTATTATTATTATTATTATTATTATTATTATTATTATTATTATCTGACAGGACACTGGTATCAGTGTACGAAAGAGGGTCATCAAGATTTTGAGAGACATTTGTATCAACCAACCAGATTTTCCTAAAGTCACTGAAATTTGTGTAAAGATCATTAGAAGAATTGCAGATGAAGAAGGCATCAAGGTTGGTGCTCCAGATAAGATTCAGGCTATTCTTTATCTATTCTCAGGGTCCCTATGGATACCAGCTAGGATGCTGATAGGCCCACCCTGCCTAAATTAAGTTTACATTAGATGACATGATTATATTCCTTGCACATATGTTTGATAAATTTCATCTTGTTGATTACTTCTTATTCATAAATTTTTTTGTTTCTTTTATTCCTATTCTCATTCACTTATTTTCTTATTTTCTCCGTAATCCTATTTTAAATCAGTTATGTTCAGTAATTTCTCTTCTGAATGGATTTGTGGGTTAGAATCCCACTTCTGACACCATTTGTCAACTGTGTGGTCTTACTCATGAAGAGACATTAATTGTGTGATTCAAGTTTACACTATTTATACAACAATTGAACTCAAACAATACATACACACTCACGGTTACACAACAATCATGTGATTACTGTGTAATATTACATATCGTAATATTATATAATAAAGAATTATATTATTATTATGTTTTAGGAGCTTGTAACCAAAGTATTTCAGCAAATGTGGTTCACGCCAGAGAAAGGAGTGCAGCAGGAAGTGTTACTAACACATGTTGTACAGATGACTGAAGTGGTAAGTATACATTATCTTTGTGGTCACCTTTTATGGAATATGATGGATCATATTGTTATTGGATAACTCTTTCTAAAGACTTAAAATTGCTTTGGTTATCAGAAGTTGATCTTTAATGGGCATCTTAGAAAACAGTTACTTCTGCTTTGCTGTATGTGGTGATTTATATACCATACATTACTACATAAACATAGATGTGGGGACATCAGTTGAAGGTACTAACTGTATTTCCTTTTTAGGTATCTGCTTGTGGAGACAATACTGATTGGTTTGAGCAGCTTCTAGACAATGTAAGTAAATTATATTTCATATCTTTGGAATTTTTCAATCTAAAAAATATGAATATAGTGTTCTGAAGATTTTTGCTATGTTTTTTGCAAGCAGTCAGTCTATGGTAATCTTACCATCACTCAGACTAGGACCTTGAATAATGAAGAGTTCTTACATCATTGTGGGTGCTCAATGGTTGGATAAGATGACCAGATTCATCAGACTGATCAATATATGACCAGTCAATTTGACCAGGCAAGACTGGCCTAACAAGTGTTTTGCCAGAAAAGTGCCAAATTTGGCCAGACACTATCCTTTGACTCGTCATCATTTTTAGCCCTGCAAGAATAATTTAAAAGTCAAGAAAGGGATAATAATGACATTGAAGTAATTATTTGTTGGTTCAATAATGTTTTCCTTCTCTCAGCTGCTGAGGAGTGATGAAGACTCGGTGGTAAAATCTTCTGAAGAAGCATGTTTCCAGATAGTGGATTGCTTGGTGGAGAACATCCTTAGACAAGAAGAAAGCGTAATTGGTAAGAATTTTCATTCCTAATATATTCCTCCCCATGGAGGAATTTTTTAAGACACACACACCCCCCCCCCCCCCCCCCTGTACCCTTGGAAATTCCAATTTTCTTCCATACAAACTCTGTAATTTTTGTTCTTTCTCTGACCCCCTCCACCCTTCAGAAATTCCAAATTCCTCTCTGGGGTGGGTATGGATAATTTCTGGAACTACACATTCTTTGATTCTTAGAACCATTAATTTTAGACAATATTTGTTCTTTTTCTAATCAGCTGCATCAGAAGGCCAAAGCTCAAGCAGTCAGAAACTTGTGGCTAGTTTGACAACCCTGTATCTCATGAGCAAGATAAAACCACAGCTGCTAGTTAACCATGTATCAACATTACAGCCATACCTCAGTACTAAATGTAGTGTAAGTCTTTATTAGCACATTAGTTCTTGAATATCTGTACCATCCCCACTGCATATTGGAGATTGCCAGGATTTGGTCTGACAGTTCTTATTGCTATGCACTGATCAAGACAATGGATAGAATTACCAGAAGAATATCATCTATCAAATAAATTGTACAGAAAAGTACATCAAAAACATTCTTTAACACATTATTTGATCGACATTAATCAGTCCATACTGATGAAAATTGTATTAATGCAAATTCATAAAAGATTTCTGTTTTCTGGAATGACAACTTGAAGCAGGCCTACAGGGTATATACAACTAGTGGACGCCCCAAAATATTCTTTAAACTAATATTCCCTATAATATAATATAACCTGACATTTAAATTCTTGGTTCATTACAGACTCAGGGTGACTACCTAGTTATCCATAATGTAGCTCGTATACTAGAGCTAGTGGTTCCTCTAATGGAACACCCAAGTGAGACATTCCTTGCCAGTCTAGAAGAAGACTTGATGAGACTCACTGTCAAGCATGGCCAAACTGTTGTACAGAGTTGTATTAGCTGTCTGGGTGCTGTGGTGAACAGAGTCACACACAATATCAAACTTGTCAAGGATTATTTCCAGAAATACTATGGTAATATGCTTTTGAGAATATGATTGTGTATGTGATAAGTGATTGTCTGGGTGAAGGGTGCTCATGATTAACTCCAGGTTAATCTATTTGATTTGATTGGCTGCAGATTTTTGATATTGCAATGCCTGACTGATATGCATCTTCTAAGACAATCATACTAATCATAATGACCTTTTTTCCTATTTTAATGTAGGTTTCTTAGTGAAAGCAAAGACAGATCATCATACCAAAAAGGGTGCCAAAGGGCAGAACACAACACCCAAGCCAACCTTGTTAAGGTCGCTGTTTACTTTAGGATTATTGTGTAAACACTTTGATTTTGATGGGGATGTGAAACCAAAGAACCAGGTATGAACCTCAATTTTACCAAACTGCATAATATATAGCTCACCTTGTCTTTCTCTGGGTAATTGCCTCAATATGTTACCACTGTTTTCATTGCTGTGCCATGACCGAGATACACCTATTTGCAAATTATACCGGAAAATCAAAAGATCTTATGTGCCTTGTGAACTAAATATTATTTGATTGACAGTAGTTTATTACCTGTCACAATTTTTGTCTCAATCAATGTATGAAAATAGTAAAGAATTTCCAACCACCATTATGTGAAGCTGCTTACGTTAACAGACCCCCACCCCACCCATAGAAGGTGGTCACAATAGGGAAAAGGGATGCATAGCTTACAGTATTTCAATATCATTCTTTTAAAAGTATATATACAAAATATGTAAGTGCATACACTTTTTATCTGAGATATGTTATTTGTCTTGTTCTTAGCAGAGCTCCACAAGCGACAAAGTATTTGCTGTATATATCTATTTTTGCAAGCATGAAGATGAAGAAATACAGCAGAAGGCAATCAGTGGATTGGGTACATAATCAACACTATAAGTAAATTGAAGTTGTTTTCACTCCATACTTAGAGATCCTATTTTTTGTTTTTATATTTCAGGGTTTTTCTGCATGAGGTATGCAGAGTTATTAATGAAAGAGGATGCCAAATGTCTTTATCAAGACATTTTATCACCATCCAATCCATCATCCAAGCTAAAGTGGCAGGTACAGTTTTACTTACAAAAATCTTCCTTCAGTTGACACATTCTGCATGCTAGCATGGATTATGACCTTTGATATAGTTGATAGTCATAATTATCATATATAAATATTATATATATATAGTTGATATTCAGCTAAATTATTTTTTATTTGTTTCCAGGTACTTAAGAACTTTCAAACCCATTTGCTTGAAGAGGAGAGAAGACTCAGGGTACAAGATCATGAATGTAAGTCAGTATCATTGTGTAGTTCCTGGAAATATCCATGTTTCCCATGGAGCAAGATTGGAATTTCTGATCGTGAGTGATGGGGAGTTGTTGGAGAGGGAATATTCCACTACTTAAAACTTATGAAGGGTGGAGGACATAACATTAACCTTTACCTGGCACTGTGTCTTTGGGGCAGAAAAACCCAGCTCTCTAGAAAGAGACAGTATACAAGAGGGCATATATAAGCAATGCAACCTCAAAAGGAGTGAGATGGCAAAGCAGGCCTAAATCCACACACCCCTAAGCCTGGAAATGAGGCTTGTAGGGCTGTACCACCATACACAAAATGCTACAGAAAAACAATTCTTAAATACCTCACATATGCATTGACCCTCAACCATGGGGGAGGTATGTGCATTCCTTAAAAATATTTTATTCACTTTAACTAAGGAAAATTCATTTGCTAAGTGCCATTTCTTCTGCAGGGAAAAAGCAGTCAGACAAAGAAAACTTAAAGGAACTTGGTGATTCACAATCTGGGTAAGAAGAGATCTTCTTCAAGGTTTAATTAAAAATTCAAAAACTCTTTTTTAGAGTAATCTAAACCTATTAAATTTTAGGTTGACATGTAACAATAAATTGACAGAGCTAAAAGTAACAGCTGGTCCCCCTGCAGTCATGATGACCAACCAAATTAGTTGTAGCTCAATCATACCTCATTTCTGGCTCAAGGTTACTAGTCAAAAAGACATAATTCAAATAGACAAGTTCAGATTTTGAAAAAATGTTGTTCGATGACTAACCATYATTTTAAGCGTCATTTTTTAACCTTGGATTGAGCTACTAATAATGTCACTGTCAACACTAAAGTAAAAACATGCTTCTTGTACTTGCAGGCAAACTAGTGCTGTAATGCAGGTTTATCTCAAAGATATTCTGCAAATGTTTTTCCATCGTCAAAGTCAGCTCCGAACAGCTGCACTTACAGTAGTGACCCTAATCCTCAGACAAGGACTTGTACATCCAGTCCAGGTTAGTTCACATTTATATCATATTTATCTGCACACTTAATATCCAGAGGTAGATATCAGATGGATTGATAGTCCATTGCAGGTATAAGATCCTTTGATTAAAAAAGAGTTGCCAACTATGAATCATTTGCCTTACAGTTGAGTAAGATGGTTAGGCACTGGCCTGAAGTGCAGGAGGTGGGACTCAGCAGGGGTGTCACCATCCTCATGCTGTAGAAACCTAAAAATGTGATAAGTTCAACTTACTGATGTTCTGAAGGGCAAAACTCCTGGTTGTGTCCCTGCTCAGGGTCTTGAAATATCTGAGTAGAAGGTGCTGGCCATGCTCTATAAACTGTCCCATCTTATTCAGAGGCGTTAAACATAGAGGGCTGCAAGTTTATCAGTTCTAAGTTGAGACTGTCATTGTCACCTTCTCATATAGGCATTTAATTCGTTTTCTTTCACAGTGTGTTCCATATTTAATTGCTGCTGGCACTGATGTAGAGCAACAAACACGTCTCAAATCAGATCAACAATTAACTGACATTGACAATAAATACTCTGGTTTCATACAGGTTAGTATAATGGATATAGATGTATGTTTTCTTGATGCCTGTTAACATTTCATTATAATCTGCATTTTTCTGCTATAGATGAAGGCTCTTGCTGGGACAAAAATGTCATTTGACTTGCAAAAGCTTATACATGAGGTATGTATCAAAACAAGTATTTATTTAAATAGTTTTTGATTTTTCCTTAGCATTGTGTCCCTTGTCCCAATAATCCATTTCTGATATACATTGCTTGTCATACACACAGATTTGAGTAAAGGGTAAATGCTAAATTGAATCAATACTCTCTAGTCACAAATAACTGAGTTAGATAAACAGGATGCTTTTGTTCTAGCTTAAGTACAAACAACACTGTATATGGTAAATAAATGCTTGTTGTCTCGGAAAAGGTCTACGGAGAAGAACATTTTTACTGCTAATGGTGGTGTTAGTAGTATAGGGAATGGGGGTTCCAGCGCAATCTCAACACGGGGTAAGACCCGCGTCAAAAATCCACC